GAGCAGAGCTGGGTGCAGAGAATGTAATAGATAAGGAGTGTGTGGAAACAGAACCAGTGCCTCTCCTTCCTTCCTCTGTACCCTCTATCCGAAGTGTAAATAAATAAATTGGCCATGATCAGACGGTGAATTCCTGACTTGGCTCAGTAGCCTTGGGAGGCGTTTTGAAGATTCTAATCTGCAGTTGCATATGAAAAGTTACAGCAAAGCCAACTAAGTCAAGTAGTATTCTTATTGGACTTTGTGCAAATAGCAGACCAAATTGAGACTAAACTTATTTTTTTGGCAGATAAATTCGTTTATGCTTCTCTTTGGTAAAAGAGGAAATGGAGAGAGAAAAAACATTTCAGAAGAAAACTATAGTGCACTTGTTAATAGATTTTAGCTCTGTCCATATTTGTTTTTGGAGTTTTTAGTATCTACCTACAAACTCTGTTTGGACAGAACCCCAACCTTTTTCCTGGCCTTAAGTCTTAAGCAATTTTTTCTTAACTTTGATTCATTCAAGCTAAAACTAATTTTCTTGAAATTAAAAAAAAAAATTAAATGAAAAAATAAATAATTTAAAAAATAATAAAATAAAATAAATTGACCATGATAGCCTAATGCATCCAGTGCTCTGAGGTCTAGCAGATCACACAGAAAGGGCACCTGCCTGGGCTCGGTGAGAAAGCAATGGGAATATACAAGCAAAGATTCTTAGAGGAGGCTGCATCTTAACTGAGATGGAAAGGAACAAACAGTAAGAATTAGCCACCTACGAAGGGCAGGTAAAAAATGGTCAGGGCAAAGGACGTGAGCTAGTGCCTTGAGGGCAAAACAAGGCTGAAAACGCACAACTCACAGATATAGCACACATGGGATACCGAAAGTGTGCACCATAGCCAGGTCTTGAGGACCTTGAAAGTCCTGCATTAGCCCTCCAATAGTAAGAGTGAGAGGATGAAATCAAGATTGAAATTGTTTCAGAGCATTTCCTAGAATAGGGGCCAAAGCTCCACCTGAACCACAGACTTCTGCATAAGAAGGGGTGAGTTTCTCAAAAGAAAATATGAATTTCACAACTAGAAAGAAGAAAGAGAGTGAGTGGAAGACAAGGAAAGGGAGAGAGAAAAGGGAAGAGAGGAAGGAAGAGAGAAGGGAGAAAGGGAGAAGGAGAGAATCCACATGCATAAAAAGAGATTAGGGGCCAAAATATGACTTGGTAGTTAAATGACCTGGATTCCACACAACCAAGTGCACTGTTTGAATCCTGGACCTGATGGCTTGAAAAACACATGAGGCACATGTATACACATACCCCAACTCCAAAAGGAAAGAGAAGTAGAGAAGGGATTGTGGCGTGACCAACCCTCATGAGGGGTGCTTTCTCACTCTCTCCAGTGAGAACTGGCATCCTCTGACAATTTTTTTTTTAAAAACTCAGAAGGAAATACATAAATTAAATGCTAATTTATATTCTTCCAGAGGATATTATTAAGGACTTGAAATTTCTTTAAAATTTCCTCTATTTAATATATATTACTTTTATAATGTAAGAAATTTAAAGACTATGACCGTTATGCAGCCATTAAAATTAATAAAAGTTTCAAAATACATTAAGTATAAATGCTCTCTCAGTCTGCCATCCCATTAAGAAGAGATGCCATCTGACAAACTCAGAATCGAGGTTAAGTTGCCACAGGAATGAAAAACTGGGATTGGGTTTCTATAGACGTTTCCTCCAAAGGCAAATTTAGAGTCCACAGATCAATTAATATTTGCCCCTCGACTACTCTTCTCCCTTCACCCCCAACCCCTGCCTATCCCTTGGGATGGAGATGCTCTGATGGCTTCCACATGTGTGGTCACTTGAATAAGAAAACCTCCACGCTCCCTGAAAAAGTGTTTCCGTATGTGGTCATCTTGGGTTTCTTTTTCCCCTCCTGCGCAAATGGGGGAATCACAGAAAGGTATTGGATTTTCTTTCCTCTGGTGCCCATTGATTTTATATTGCCTGACAACCCTTGGATGCACTGCCAATAGATTTTTTTTATCTTAAAAATAATGTGTAAAGACCAGACGATGGTGTAGCAGTAATGCAATATTATGCAAAGCTGACCCACATGAAGAGATCTGAGTTTGCACTCAGAGACCTGAACCTGAATACACCAGGCACACCTATGCCTACGTTCCAGGATTGGCTGAAGCTGAGGATGGATTGCAGCATGAAGGGGTGGGCGGGGAATTCTCTCTGTCTCTGTCTCTGTCTCTGTCTCTCTCTTGCTCATGGAAGAAATAAAGCTCTAAAAATAGTCTTTAAAATCTTACTTCATGTAATTGCTGAATTTACATGTGGTATATTAAGTATTTGAAAAAAAAAAAAAAAAACAACCAGCCATTTCATTTAAAGGAAAGAGGAGGCTCCACTGTCAGAATATTCAGCTGCTCCAGTGGGAGACCCGGTTTGTGTTTATTATACATCATGGTTTATGGACAGAGAGATGAATATAAAGTCCATCCCTTTGTCTTGGTAATCAGAACTTGAAGTTCCCATGAGGAAGGACAAATATGTATGTCTTTTATTTAGCAGGAAATTGTCCTGCATTTCAAGAGTGTAAAAATACCCTACTAGAAAAATGATTTCTAATTATCTGGTTTCATTCTAGTATGAAATAGACTTATGAGTGGGATGTTTTTTATTTAAGTATTAAAAAAAGACATATGTTTAAAAAATATGACTAAACCTTCTTAGGGTTTTACAAAAATTAAATCCTTCTATCTGAGCCCAACAACATTGTATATTTGAAGTTAACTTTTTGTAACCCTGTCTCACTTCCATTCCTTTAGCTGCTGGTTCTTGATATTCTATGAAATGATCTCTTGGAATCATGCATTTAATAGAAGTTGAATGAAAAAAAAAATCTTAGGATGCACTTTGATGGATCAGAAACTTCCATATCCAAAACATTAAGCTTTTTTTTTTTTTTTGAGAGGTTTTTGCTAAAGGGTGCATGCATTCACCAGAAAAACAGAGAAACAGAAAGTGAGAAATCATCCCCCAGGGAGGGATGGCCATGTTGCAATCCCTTCTCCTCTATTCTTCTCTTGGGATCTTGGGCACGCATGCACATGCGCCTGGTGTGAGTTTAAGCCACTGGGTCGGTGCCTCGAATCATAGTCGACCACATGGGAGGTTCAGCAACATAGCTATTACTCCAACTGCTGGTACCCAAAACATTAACCTTTTTTAATACCAATTTATTTGCTGGCATATTAGGGACATTCTTAAGACTTTGCAACCTTTCAGAATATACTGCTTTGTGGACAGAACTTGGTTTTCATTGGAGAACCCAGATGATGTTGAGGCAACAGGGATTCTCAAACAGTGTCTGCCTTAGCTTACATCCTTCTTTCAGTATTTCAAGTGAGGACTGGGACTGTCCTAGACTGTCCTCAGCCCCTCTCCCTCTAATGGCTTGAGGAATCTCTTCTTCATCCAGACCACAGACCATCACTTAAGAGTTCTCATTCCAAGCAGATCCCACCCCCTTCTCCCGAAGGGCTTTAGGCTTTGGAGCAATGTAAAGGGTGTGGCTGTATGGGGACTGCCAGCCATTGCTGGCCAGCATTCGGCCTCCTTCTCACCTTCCTTCCTGCTGCCAGCTCTCTCAAAAGAATTGTAATTTTTGTTTTTCTGCCCTTTATTTTCTTGGCTCCATGAGGTTCTCAGGAGGATTGTTCATGTGGTTCCTGAGAAAGATGAGGTAGAAGGGCTGATCAAGGTACTGGGAGAGTCTCTCTAAACTAGTCACTTCATGCCCAGAGATGATGCCATCCTGAAATCCATCTTCTTATCCAAGCCAATACTTTTCGAACTTGAATATGCCTATTCATCACAGGGGATACTGTTGACATGAAAATTCTGAATCAGTAGGTCTGGGATGGGATCTGAGAATGTGTTCACCACAAGAGACTAGTGAGGCAGATGCTGCTGGTCTATGCCTTGTATAGTAAAGGTGTTAAAAGCAAAGGGCATTTTACTTGTATGTCAGTGAGATAATCCTCTTAAGGGGGTGAGAAAGGTCTTAGAACTTAGTAACTGCTTCAAACGATGCTTGATGGTGATGACGAAGTGATAGTGGTGATGGTGGTAAAGATGGCAATGGCTGTGATAATGAAGATAGATGGTGGTAGGGATGATATTAATGATAGTAATGATGGAAAAAGTGATAACGATGCTAGTGATGGTGATGAAAATGGTGATGCTGGGGGTGATGGTGACAGTGGTGATGGCGGCAATGACTATGGTGGTAATGGCAAAGAGGATGGTAGTGATGACAATGATACCAGCGATGGTGGTGGTGGTGACAGTGGTGATGTTAGTGGTAATGATGGTGGTGACAGTGATGATGATAATGTTGCCAACAACAGGAAACATTTATCTTCACAGAAATATCATGTTAACCTGTTACAGGATCAGACGTTATTTTCAGAGGGCAAGCATCAAAGGAGAACAGAGAACAAAGTAAGACTTGGTTGCCTTCAGCCAATATAAGATGTGTTTTGATTTCTAACCAGGAACTTAGAGCAGTTTGCAAACCAGCCATAGTCCCAGAGGCCATAACCTCTGCGAGACAGTGATTTAGTCAGTCTTCCTTATCTTCTTGTCCTGGCAAGTGGCAAAGTGCCTGGCACATAGTAACCCTTGAACGAAAATTGTTTACTATCCTCATTTACTGAGCATTTACTATCTGCCAAGCACCCTGCATCTGCCTTTTCTCATTTAACCTTCACAACAAACTGGAAGAGAGAGTAGAATTATTCATTTCAACTTACAGGTGGAAATTAAGTGTTGCTCAAGGTCACTCAACTGGTTGGAGTAGTCAGAACTCAAACTCAGGCACATGAGATTCCACAGCCCAAATGCTTAACCCTGTGCTATCTTGATCCCATTGTGATGACATAAGGATTCCAGAGCACTGTAGCCATCATAAGTGTGTTGGTCTTCTCTAGGGACCACATACCATTCACCAGTGCAGCCCATGGGCCAGAGAACTGCAGAGAAGCCTTTTCTGCTCCACAGGGAAGCTCTCCACCAGGCAAGCCACATGCTCACCAGCTGCATCTATGCTCACCTTTGTCCTCCTCGTGTTCCTGCACCTGCTCTCGAACTCATGCATCCTTCCCAGGTGGTTCTGATTCCATCCTAGATTTGTGCAGGCAGATATCCAGTGACTAGAAAAATAGTACTGGCCTCTAGGAATAGGATGGGGCTCATTATTTTATTTTCAAGCCATCCTCTTTTATCCTTCTGTACCATGTGCAAAGAGTATAATCCCAGCTTGCGTGGGCTGTCTGTACTAGGCATTTTGGGTCTGAGGCTGTCCCTAACAAGCTATCTGTCCCTGCTGCTTTCCAAACACCCATTGTATGTGTCAGGGTAATTTTCACTCTACCTCCATTTCTGCTAAAGTTAGGAAAGTCTTAGGCTTTGTTCCATTTGGGAGGTAGGCTAGAATTACTATGCAGTGGACTCTTGCATCCTGTTATAACCCTATAATGGTTCCTTTGTGACACTAGGAATTCCCAGTTATATTTCCAGGGAGGTCAGACAGGAACAGTGTTGCCAGAAACATTTCTCTGAGCTATGGTTCATACTGAAGTCTTTTGCTCATTTTGGTGAGAAATGCTGAAAATGGTATGTGCTGAAATCCCAGCTGGTTATCAGACTGGTAGACAAGAGCAACCTGCTTTGTAAAGGGGAAACTCCTTGCCCCCCTTACCTTCATGCTGCAGCCTGAATGCATGTTTACTTTCAAATCTCATGTGCTATAAATATGCATGCATGCCTCTACCCAGTTCTGCAGAGAAGTCTGGCTTCTGGCTGAAAACTAACAGCAGAACAATTTTTGAAATAATCAGGCAAAATAATACAAAGATCATGGAAGTTCTTGTCCTGATCTCATATTTATTTGCTGTGTGACCTTGCACTGGTTTTATCATCTCTCTGGGCTTGTTTCCTCACCTGTAAAATAAGGATACTTTACTTTACTAAAAGACTGTGCAGAGATCATTTGGCTTTGAAACTTTGTAACTGCCTGTTTGTAGTCCCTGGGTGTGACATATTTTTAGGAACAGTTACCTGCTGCACAACGATATTTCACTCAATGACAGACCATCCCATAAGGAGTATATAAGCTGTAGCATATAGCCTAGGTGTATAGTAGCTATACCATCTAGGTTTGGGGAGTATGCTCTATGGTGTTTGGACAGTGATTTTATTTCTTAGGATACATCCCCTTCATTAAGCAACACATGACTGTAATTCATCTCTTGTTTCCATTCCACTTCCTTGCTTTGTAATTTAGGATGTGACATTATCCATAAACATAATGTTTTACAATATAACCAGCTCTTGTCCCTCATTTCCAAGGAGTTGATCAAGTATCAGTGTGAGGGACCAGTAGTTGGTGTAATGGCTACCTCACTGGACTCCCATGTAGTCGACCGCAGTTCAAGTCCTGGACCTGGTAGCTTAAACTCACACTGGACGCATGAGCATGTGTGCCCAAGAGCCCAAAGGGATTGCGGCATGGCCATCCCCCCTAGCGAGTGATTTCTCACTTTCTGTCTCTCTGTCTCTCTCTGTCTTTCTGGTGACCGCACATGCCCTATAGCAAAAACCTCTTAAAAAAAAAAAATATATATATATATATATATGAATATGATACAAACAGGAGGGGTTTTTTTGTTTGTTTTTTGTTTTTTGTTTTTCCATCCCTGAGAAAGCATTCAAGCCTCAGCCACCAGGTCAGTCTCTTTTGAAAGCAGTTGGAACAGTGGAATCAGATAATCCTGGCCTCTCCTGAGGATACTTCCTTTCTAAAGAGCTGCTTTGCACTCCCAATTCTGATTCACAGAGGGAAGGAGCCTTGTTTCTGATGGCAAACCAAAGCCATCCATGAGGGAAGGAGGCTGGCTTGGCACTGGAGCCTCCCTGATGTCCAATTCCCCTGAGCAATTGCTCCCTTATCTCCTGCCAGAGCACCTGAGGGGATCTTCTAAGAAACAGCTGGCCTGGGGTTAGCAAAAGACCTTTGGAAGCTCCTCCTCCTTAGCTTCCTGGCAACTTTGTTTTTCTTGAGTTCATTTACACCTTTTTCCCATGACTGAGAGAGAGAGACAGAAAGAGATAGAGAGACAGCACTTCCAGTAGGGTCTTTATGCCTTCATCTACCCTTAGCTTTAGTCCCACATCATGGGAAGCACATCTGAGTCTGAGGCTGTCCCTAACAAGCTATCTGTCCCTGCTACTTTCCAAATACCCATTGCATGTGTCAGGGTAATTTTCACTCTACCTCCATTTCTGGATACTCAGCATGTTCAGGGAAACCTCCAGATGTGAACCTGGAACCTTCCCATGTGGCTAAGACTTACGGAGCATTGCATTACTGCACCACCTTTTGCCTACTCTTCCTGCTCACTTTTGGCTGACAACAGACTTTAGACATGTTAATGTAATCCTGTAACAATGGCAGTGTGTCTGTCTACAGTCCAGGTTGGCAAAAAAGGCAGAAAGGAGAAGTGATCTGAAGGCGATGTGCTGTGCTCTGAGCAGAGATGAGCTAACGGTATTAAGAGAAGACCCCTGTGAGAACTCCCTTCATGATGGAGCTGGGCACCGTGTCCTTGAGTTTCCTGAGAATTAGAATGGCCCTCCATCCTTTCTGTGCCTGTTCCTCCCTCTCATGCCTATGTGACCCACTCCCCAGAGGGGCCCTACATAATAGTCCACAACTACAGGCTTCTGAAAAGCAAGACCATGGCTCTAAAAAAGAGATGCCTGAATGTTGGGGATGTGTTCAGGTATGCCTTTCTCCTTCCTGGGGCTCTCCTTGCTGGCATGGGCCCAGCTTGCAGCCTTCACTGGCTGTCCTAGGATGGAAAAGTTAAACAAGGGTTGCTCCAACCTCAAGGCAAGGAATGAGGATACCCAAGTCAGACCCTTTCTCAGGGCTTCCTGAGGGTACTCATCTTCCTGAGGGCACTCATATCAGGTCTCTATGGGTGGTACTGACTGTGGATGGTGCCATACTGGTTACTCGGAGACATGCTTGGAAATCACCCTCTCCCACACTTTCCCCAGTACTGACCACCAGGAGTCCAGATGTCCAGAGATATACAAGCTTAGCTAGGGTGGCAGTCATCAGTTCTACTCTGAGGGCACAGTGTTGAGTTCAAATCCAGGCCCTGTCATTATGGGCTGCATGACTCAGATAACACCTAGCAACACAGAGGCCCCACTTTCCTCATCAATGAAACTGAGCTCCAACCCCTGGGATGCTATGAGGGTTCTGTGTGGTGATATGCCAAGATAGGAACATTAGCATGAGCCTCAGAAAACGGAAGTCCAGACACCCTCACTTTTGTCAGCATACCCCGAAACAGCCATATCCAATCCACAAATCTCCCTCCCTCCAGCAGTTAGAGGCAAACCATGACATTTACTAAAGTTGACCAAAGGCAATGGGGAATTTCCTTTAATGTCACAGTGTTTCTGCTCTCCACAGGTCCCTGCTTGGCCTGCCATCAGCCCCTGTCCTGCACTAAAGTGACAAAAAAAGAACAATGTCACCACTTTCTTTATATCGTGTAGGTACACGCTACATAGTGCTGCTGAGGAAATTCCCCTAACATTGCTCATCTTTATTATTCTCTCTAAAATTTGAGTTGCAGCCTTTTAGATTTTTTAATATAGATATCTAATAGGTCCTCAGCTCATTTGTTCAAGGGCATTTAAAAGGCAGTTTATTCTTCATTTTAGTAGGTATGACAAAGGCAGACAACAGAATCCTTTCTGTGGAGAAATAACACTCGTTCCCAATTAGTGTTCATATTCTCGGCACTTACAACCTCAACTGATTGAAGAGAACAGAAGAATGAGACACATGAAGCTAAAATATGAGAAATACTTCTTTGAAATCCAGTTTGAATGTATGTCAGAGCATTATGCTTTAGATTTATTAAGGAAGGAGGGACTACTAGATTAAATTGCACAAGTTTATCTAGAATTCTGCTTGTTGTAAGCAAAATACTTCTCCCCAAATTGTATCCTAAGTGGAAGGGCTTGTGAAAACTTTTAAACTATAAATTGATAGGAAAAATGACAGAGGCAAAAATGAATATTTCTTGTTTGAATAACGCATTTGCAATAGAGTTGGCAGAGCTGAGCTTTCGAAATCTCCAAGGAGTGGAGGAGCAATTAGTAAGTATGATGAATCAGCTGACAAAGGCTTTTTTCCCTTGGCCCTGTGTGAAACGATAGAAAATTTCCTATTGCAAGTCTAATTTCCCAAGAAATTGGAGTATGTATTGAATAAAGGCTGAGATCTCCAAGGAGAGTCAGAAAGCAAGAAGACAGGAAAACTATATGCTTTTTATCTACTGACTGCTGCTATGGAAGTGTGAAATTACAGATTCTTAGCAATCTCCGCGATCACCAACCATTTCTGAAAATTGAAGTCACTCCGGTGATGCCTATCTTCTTTGTGGTTAGAAAACAGCCCAGAAATGCAGGATTAAATCCCAAAATGGTAGCTCGAGGCGAATATCTAGATCAGCACACTGATCAGATCAACCAAAACATCCCTGATGAGTTTGTCATAGCCAGCTCTTGGTTCTGTGGCTGCTGAGATGCCAGGGACCTCGTTTTCCAAGAGATGCCATTCTGTAGGCTAAGCACCGACTGGGAGTCATGGGTCTTCTCAGCTCTTCTTCCAACAATCTGTAGACATAAGCACTAGCCTTGTTCTCATTTTTCAGGTGAAGAAACTGGCTCACAGGCTGAGAGATTCACCCAATGAAACCTGGTTAGCAATAGGCCAAATCTTACAAAGCTGCCCATTGCATTTCATGTAAGGCTTCAAAGGCCAATTACTCTAAACAGGACCCATTTTTTAGGAGGGAGAATGCTGTGCTGCAGAGATTTCCAGACCTGGCATCTTCTCTGCAAACAGCACCTCTCTGCAGAAACCCAGAACACACCATTAGTAACCTGCAAGGCTAGGAGCCTATGAGCTGTCCCTAACATTGAGTCCCTCCCCACATTTTGAGAGAATAAGGATGTTCATGGTTCTATATGGTGCCTATGTTTGCATGTGCCATGGAGGCAGCCTCACAGTTCAAAGGAGGCTGGGCTCAGATGCTAAGGACCATGGAAGACAGCCATCCAGGGAGGAGAACTTCTGCTGGACAATGAGGCCACTCTCTGGGTGGCGCATGACCAGATGACCTCTTGGGACCTAGTCTGGCTTTCTGGTCTGATGGTGTACAACAGTTCAGTGATTTAGAGGTAAACATCTGCCTTGAGAAGAGTAAAGATGCCCCATTGTTTTCATTTGTGTTCGCTTTGGTTTCAGGGTGATTCTTTAACAGAGGGTCATGACACCGGTTCAGCCCCATTGCTCTTTGGAGAGAATGAAGAAGGTCTAATCCCCAGAGAGGAGGAGGATTCTCTCTCCTTTGGATTTCAGACCAGCCACCCATCCCCTGGTGATAGATTTTAGCACCTCTCTCCTGTCTGTGCTGGACATGAACAATGAGCAGCAACCTCCCCCCCAAATTCCTTTCCCTCAAGTGAGAGAGAAGACAGATGGCAAGGAGCATATTTGAAGCATTTTAACCTTGTCCACATGTTATAACATTATAAAAAGAGTAGAAAATGGCACATATTAAAATCACTCATATTCCAATAACCTGAGCATAATGGTTATTTTATATGTTCCTTTCAGATCTTCTATTTATGTATATATTTCATTGTCAGCATGACTTTGTACCACTCTCTCTCTCTCTTTGAAAAATATACCATATATATTTCCTATGTTGCCACTTAATCCTCAAAGCTAGAGTCTTTAATGCCTGAGAACTAATTCGTTAAGTGCATTTGCCAACCATTTGAGCCATTCCCTTCTTGCTGGGTATCTAGATGTGTCTAGTGTTTAGAATATTAGGAACTATATTGGGATTAGTATCTTTGCTAAGCAGGCCCGTCAGGACTGTTCACTGTGAATCAGAATGTGGAATCAGAATATGTTCTGGGAACCTCTGGGCCTTCGTGGGCTGGAGATGAGTAAGTGCCTGCCTCATGGTACCGATCACAGTGAGAAAGTGAAGTCTCACCCAGGGACCAGGAGGTGCTCCAGGGCTCTAGGAAAGGGCCCCCCCCCATTGCTAACAGGAGAATGGGTGGTACCAGACTTACATCTGAGAGGAGAGGCTCTTGAACACATGACAGTTACTTCCTTTTTGACTTTTTGAGTTGGGTAAGGCTTTCAAAACCAATTATTTACAAGTGACGCTTTTATAGCTTTGGATCATTAGAGGAAGAAGAGATACTAAGGGTTACCAGGTTTAGCCAGTACATACATAGATGCCTATTTCAATGTGCATTTGGGATCATGAATAATTATTTTATAACTATGTTCTAAATAGTGCATAAGACAACTTACACTAAAAAGAAACTTACTCATTGTTTATCTCAAATTCAGATTTAACTAATTATCTTATGTTTTATACAGCAACCCTGTCCAAGCACAATAAACACGACACACTGTCCTTGTACAGAGTGAAGTCTGAGAGACCTTAGATTAGATATTTATACTCCCTAACCTCTGTTTCCTCAGCTGCAAAAAGGAATATAGTATTTGCACTTATCTAAGAGAGCTCTGGCAAGTGCTCAGTAGATATTTACTCCCAGGATTGCTATCACAAAAAGGGAACCTGGTTCTTTAGAGAATGGACTTAATACTAGTCATGTTCCATGTGGCCATAGAGAGATGCAATCTGTTTTCCTCTGAAGAACCGAAGTTCCCTGGTGGTTGACTGACAACCTAGGCATACGCTCTCCATGAAGGAGAGCTTTTACCATCCTCCCGCATGGGCTTAGTCTCTGCTGAAGTTCAGAGACATTCTCCATGTTACGCTAAGATGCTGTTTTATTATAAATTCCAGAATTATACAGATTCTGTCTCTCAGTCTGTTCCTCCTTATTTCCAATTCTCAGTAGCCTAGTTCAGGTGAATTCCCACTGATTATCCAATTCGTTGAAAAACCTCTATTTCCTGTTTTCTCTACAAACTGAGTTTTTCACTTGCCCAGAGGTATCTGATAGTAGCAACAGAAAAGAAAGACTATCAATTTTTTTTTTTGTCTAAATAGGTGGAGTTAATATACCTGTCAAATTGGTGGCTTAACTGGCATTGTTAAAATATACTCATTGCCTCACAGACCTTAGAGCAATGGAGGAAAGGTGACTTTGATACAGCTATAACATGTCTACTTTAATCATAAACTATTATATTTCACTAAAGTCTTTCAACTGTAAGGATTATTTTTTTCTTTTTTTGGAGAGGTTTTTGCTATAGGGCACGTGTGCTCGCCAGACAGACAAACAGAGAGATAGAAAGTGAGAAATCACCCCCCAGGGGGATGGCCACGCCACAATCCCTTCTCCTCCATTGTCCTCTCGGGATCTTGGACACGCACGCACACGTGCCCGGCATGAGTTTAAGCCACCAGGTCTGGGACACAAACCACGGTCAACTACATGGGAGTCCAGTGACATAGCCATTATGCTAACTGCTGGTCCCATCAATTGTAAGGATTTTAACAACACACTCCTCTGAGTTGTTAAAATATAACATCATGTTAACACTTAAAATTGGATGTATGGATATTTCTTTTCTCTTTAAAAGGTAAACATTTTATAGTTATTCCAATCTTTTTTTTTTTTTTTTGGAGAGGTTTTTGCTATAGGGCGCATGCGCTCACCAGACAGACAGAGAGAGACAGAGAGACAGAAAGCGAAAAATCACCCCCCAGGGGGGGTGACCACGCCGCAATCCCTTCTCCTCCAGTCTCCTCTCGGGATCTTGGGCACACACACACATGCGCCTGGCGTGAGTTTTAAGCCACCAGGTCCGGGACGCGAACCGCGGTCGACTACATGGGAGTCCAGCAACATAGCCATTACGCTAACTGTTGGTCCCTCCAATCTTTTTTTTAAGAGACATTTTTGCTATAGAGTGCGTGTGCTCACTGGAGAGACAGAAAGAGACAAAGAGACAAAAAGTGAGAAATCACCTCCTAAAGGATGGCCAAGCCACAATCCCTTCTCCTCCATTCTCCTCTTGGGATTTTGGGCATGCATACACACGCATAAATTTTAAGCCATCAGGTCCAGGATTTGAACCACAATTGACTACATGTGAGTCCGGTGACATAACCACTATGCCATCTGCTGGCCCCACATCTTTAAACAACAACAACAACAACAAAGTAGGAAAAGACCCTTGGCAAATGCATTGCACAGAGCTGAAGAGACCACAGTATGTCCAGATTAACAAAAGTTCCCTGTCTACCCATGGGGAGAAGAGACATGGGTGCCTGAAGCGATATGGCTTCTACAGTAATGGTTCAGCTGAACAGAGCCTTCCCAAAGCAAGCCACCAAGATATCTATGCAAAATATTAAGAACAACTACAATAGGCCCTGATCTCCGATTCTCTGACATGACATTCAGGTGAATAAATCCTTTGAAAGTTTGAATCAATGAGTTTGTCTTGTTTTGTTTATTTAAAAGCAACCCAGAAATAGCCTGAGCCACGTGGGCTGCACAACTACAGAGCAAAGCACACAGGCTGTGTAGTTTCCCATATGTGGCTCCCATGTTCTGGCCCGGCTGCTTACTGCCAGCAATCTCCACATCTCATTTTCTCCACCTGTAAACAGGATAACATTATAGGACTGAGAAGACTAAATATGTCTATAAGTCATTAGGCATGAAGGGGGTGTGAAGTGGTGTGCCATGAGTGGGAGGCATTGATAACAATATTTATCACAAATATCTAACTTACCCATGTGTATGCAGAACTCCCAAACATCTAGGCAGATTCTAATTTGACAGATGCCATTCTCATCCTAATGTTCCGGGACGCGAACCGCGGTCGACTACATGGGAGTCCAGCAACATAGCCATTACGCTAACTGTTGGTCCCTCCAATCTTTTTTTTAAGAGACATTTTTGCTATAGAGTGCGTGTGCTCACTGGAGAGACAGAAAGAGACAAAGAGACAAAAAGTGAGAAATCACCTCCTAAAGGATGGCCAAGCCACAATCCCTTCTCCTCCATTCTCCTCTTGGGATTTTGGGCATGCATACACACGCATAAATTTTAAGCCATCAGGTCCAGGATTTGAACCACAATTGACTACATGTGAGTCCGGTGACATAACCACTATGCCATCTGCTGGCCCCACATCTTTAAACAACAACAACAACAACAAAGTAGGAAAAGACCCTTGGCAAATGCATTGCACAGAGCTGAAGAGACCACAGTATGTCCAGATTAACAAAAGTTCCCTGTCTACCCATGGGGAGAAGAGACATGGGTGCCTGAAGCGATATGGCTTCTACAGTAATGGTTCAGCTGAACAGAGCCTTCCCAAAGCAAGCCACCAAGATATCTATGCAAAATATTAAGAACAACTACAATAGGCCCTGATCTCCGATTCTCTGACATGACATTCAGGTGAATAAATCCTTTGAAAGTTTGAATCAATGAGTTTGTCTTGTTTTGTTTATTTAAAAGCAACCCAGAAATAGCCTGAGCCACGTGGGCTGCACAACTACAGAGCAAAGCACACAGGCTGTGTAGTTTCCCATATGTGGCTCCCATGTTCTGGCCCGGCTGCTTACTGCCAGCAATCTCCACATCTCATTTTCTCCACCTGTAAACAGGATAACATTATAGGACTGAGAAGACTAAATATGTCTATAAGTCATTAGGCATGAAGGGGGTGTGAAGTGGTGTGCCATGAGTGGGAGGCATTGATAACAATATTTATCACAAATATCTAACTTACCCATGTGTATGCAGAACTCCCAAACATCTAGGCAGATTCTAATTTGACAGATGCCATTCTCATCCTAATGTTACATGAGAAATGAGAGTATATTCTGCCTTTGAAGGGTTTGTTTCTGTTTGCTTTTACATTCCATCAAACATTGGATATGAAAGCATTGTTTGGAAAGGGATAAAACAGAGCAGTGTCGTGGGGTGAACGTATAAGGGCATTCATTAGCCAGGTAGTCCCATTGCCTGGTCCTTTCATTCTCTCCCCTCCATACACAGCGTGTTTCCAGATGCTTTCATGAGCATGAGAGGATTCTAAAGTCTGCTCTGCCTTGGCCCTTCTCATAGACCCTGTACACCACAAGGCTAATAGTATGTCTCTTACAGGCTGGGCGTCTGCCCAGAAAAGCGAATGCTAAGCCCAGCACTTGCAATTACTAGCTCTGGAACTCTGGGAAAGCCTGAGTTTCCCCGTCTGCCAAGTAGGAATAATAATGACTACCTTGATAAATAGATATGAGCTAGGTGGGTGATATATGTAAAAGGACTGTATGTCCCAGTTTGCCTGTGATGACCCAGTCTGTCTATTGCCAGGATGTATATATGTATGTATGTATGTATAGAGATTTTTGCTATAGGGCTCATGTACTCATGGGAGAGACAGAGAGAGAGAAAGCAATGACTCACCTCTCAGAGAGGATAGCCATGCTGCAATCCCTCTCTTCTCCTCCATTCTCCCCTTGGGATTTTGTACACACATACAGACACACACACACACACACACACACACACACACGAGAGCCTGGCACG